AGTTACACCTCTGAATCCCTCTACCCAGTTCTCCTTTCTTTTCGCAGATGTTTCACCCCAGTGTCATCTGAGTGTCTTCCTTTTTCATTTCTCCAGTTAATTTTCTTTAATCAGCTTTTAAAAATGTTATTATTCTTCATGAGCGTTTTGTAGGTATAGGAATCCTCCTCTGTCCTAACCTTTCTCTATCGCCACTTCCCCCCCATATTGCTGCAATAATATAGTCTTTTAGTAATAATTACAAATTCAACATTCTGCTATTTAAATGCATCATGGCACTGTAGGTAGAGACAAAGGCAGAAAATATACTTTCGTATTGTCAAGATATCCAGCCCTCTTCCTACCTCGGTTTTTTTTTTTTGTCTTTTTGTTTTTTGTTTGTTCGTTTGTTTGTTTTTGTTTTCTCCTTTCATAGGCACTACCCCCTAATAAGTTACTTGAGCCTCAGTTTTGTCAGGCATGGGAAAGAAATTAGGGCATATTTCTAATACATTTTTATGACAATGAGATAATACATTATCTTTAAAATATAAAGTCATAAAATAATGTGGAAAATGGTATAAGAGAAGATGACCCCAGCTTTGGTTCTTGGGATCCGTGCAGAAAACACAAGTGAGTACAAGACAGTGGAACAGCAGCCAACAGTCAGAGTGGGGACAATCTCATCAAAGGCAAGAATTAGTTTGCTCAAAACAAAAAAGCATCAAAAGTGCGTGACTGCTTACTTCCTTCTATTCTCAAAATAAGCTAAGAACTTACCAACTGTCAACCCTATTACAATTATTAGTGTTGCCACAGCGTTGTAAATATACATGAAACAAAGCCCATCATACAATACTGATGTGTTAAGTTCTTCTATTTCTGAAATTGTTCTTTGTTTAGATGTGCATTCTAGTACAGTGGCTTTCCAATTTATTTCCAAGGCAAAGAACATGGAAGTCATAATGTTATTTGCCAAACATCATGAAAAGTAAATTTATAACCTTCATACTACTTAACAAATATTTGAGCACTCACTGTTTTCCAAAAGCTATTCAACATGCTAGAATTACAATGAATAAAATCTAAAACTTCTATGAACATGGAAGAGTTCTCTAATATAAATAGTAATAAATGCAAAGAAATCTCCACTGAAACCTATATTAATTCATTTAGTCTTCTTACCCCAGATAAGATAGTCATAGGGAATATAATTATACATGTTTTAGAGATGTAAAAACCAAGCCATGAAAATAAATAAAACAAATTTCTCAAGAATAAACAGCTAGTTAGTGTTAGAGCCAGGCTTCAGAGATAATCTCAATGTCATTAATCTTTTTCAGTATTATTTTTTTAAAGATTTATTGTTCTATTTACAAGGCAGAATGACAGAGGGAGATGTACTCTTTGTTGGTTTATTCCCCAAATGACCACAACAGCCATGTGTGGGCTAGGCCAAAGCCAGGAAGGAATCAAAAGCACCATCTTGGTCTCCCATGTGGGTAGTGAGGGGCTGAAAACTTGAGTCATCTTCAGCTGACTTCACAGGTGCATCAGCAGGAAGCAGGATAGGCAGCAGCATCCCTGGGCCTGGAAAGGCACCTGGACATGGGAGGCCCGTATGGTAAGCTCCCTAAACCACAATACCAGTCCCTTGCCATTAATCTATACCCAGCCATTCTCAAACATTTTCTGATTCAGTAAGTATGCAAATTCATGAATTGCTTCTAAATAAATTCCAGAGATGCTGCTGTTGTTGCTGCTGTTGGTGGTGGTGATCCTACTGGTTTAAGGCCACCTTTTTGAGAACCACTGTAAAGCAACACTGCCTCTCTTTACACCTATGCGTAAATACAGGAACCTAGCATCAAATGGTTTTGCATACAAACTCATTTTTATTTCATGTCATTTTAACATATAGAAAATTTGGGGGAATGTAACTTCCATATAAATCTCAACAGAAAACTGTACTTTGTTCTCCTGGGAACCGGGCCAAGAGTGATCTAGCAGCAACTGTCCAGTAAGTCACTTGAGGGATTATCTGACAAAGTATTTGAGTTATATCTCATCTGCAATCATTTTCATTCTCAAAGTCTACCTGCCACTTTTACCTTAATTCCACAATTTTACATAGAGTTGTGGTGAGCCAGTATCTGATTGTTCCATGGTATCTATCATATTTATATTTGGAGCACCCTATGTGATCAAATATACGTTATTGTATCAGAAGTTCAGTTAAAATATCTTTTATAGGTGCCAACATTGTGGTGTAGCAGGTAAAATCACCCCCCTTACATCAGCAACCCATATGGGCTCTGGTTCATGTTCAGGTTGCTCCACTTCCCATCCAGCTACCAGTGAATGGCTTAAGAAAAGCAGCAGATGACTCACGTGTCTGGGCTTCCACCAGCCATGTGGGAGACCCAGATGAAGTTCCTTGCTTTGGGCAGGCCCAGTACTGGACTTGGAGGCTATTTGGAGAGTGACCCAGTGGTGGAAAAATATCTCTCTATATATATCTCTCCTTCTCTTTCTGTAATTGATTTAAAATATGTTGTGTGTACGTATATTTGCTTCTCTATATTACTTTATTTTTATTCTAAATAAGTAGGTTACACATGAATTTAATTTCAGAATAAGAATTACTACAAAAGATTTGTTATTTTGGATCCAGCACTGTGACATGGTAGGTTATGTCTCCACTTGTGGAGTCGGAATCCTATATGGGTTGAGTTCCAGATGCTTTGCTTCTGATTCAACTCCCTACCACTATACCTGGGAGAGCAGCAGAGAACGGCCCAAGTGTTTGGACCCATGCACTTAAGAATGGAAGAAGCTCCTGGCTCCCAATTTCAAACCCACCTACCTCTGGCCCGTTGGTCCACTGGGAAGTGAACTATGGGTAGAGAATCTCTCTTGTCTCTCCTTCCTGCTCTGTAAAAAATAAATAAATGTTTAAACAAAATTTTTGCTATAAAATTCAAAGTTCTGATACAGAAGTCATTAATTTGTATTTAGTTTTGAAATACAGTTTGGAATTGAGATTTTTAGAAAGACACTAAAGCAAAAATCAAGGCACTAAAAGCCTGTTCTTGACTCTCAGTGACTGGCAATATGACATTCAGGAAATGATTCAGCTTTCATTCTCTGCATGTCATTCAAAAGAACCCACTGGCCTCCCAGATCTCCCAAGATGCCCATGTATTTACCATTCACCGAATAAAGACTATTTTACACAGTTTTCACAATTAAGTGTGCTACTTTGACTCTTCCTGTAAAAGAAAACTCCAACTTGACTGACTCTACAATAATAATGACCCGATGCAAATGTTAATGCAACAACTGCTAGTATATTTTCCCAGACTTAGGAAAGCAATGATGCTCTATTCCTGTTTAAGCAATACGCATGGTAGTTTTGAATCCTAAAAATGGTTTGTAACATTGGCCAGGCATGATAGCTCAACAGCTAAATCCTCATCTTGCATGTTCTTGGATTCTATATGGATGCTGGTATGGGTAATGCTGCTCCATTGCCCTTGCAGCTGCTTGCTTATGGTTTGGGAAAGCAGTGAAGGATGGCCCAAAGCTTTGGGACGTGGCACCTACGTGGGAGATCAAAGAAGAAGTTCCTGGGTTCCAACTTTCGATTGACTCAACTTTGGCCATAGTGGCCATCTAGGAAGTGAAACAGAAGATGGAGGATTTTTTTCTCTGTCTCTCCTCTCTGTAAATCTGGCTTTCCAATAAAAATAAAGCAAAGTTTTTAAAAATAAATCTTAAAAAAAAAAGGTGTCTAACAACTAGTACAATAAGGCTTTTGCCTCTGTCGTCTGTACTTACATTAAAGCCTTTTCACCTCTGAGCTTTCAAGGGCACTTCCATTTGCCACACTGAAATCAGCTTTCAGGCTTAGAAACCAAGATCAAGATATTAAGAGTACTTACGTTAACACTCAAGGGCACTTTCTGAGTGTTTGAAAGCCAGAATCTAAGAAAATAAAAGTAAATAAACTGAACTTGCTCCACTGAATACTTCTATGCTGGTATAAAAGGTATTCATACATATATACATATCTTCCTCTGGTCAGTGTGATGGGGCTGGAGGACAGGGGCACAACTCGTTTATCAAGATGTCAACGGGCCTGACACCTGTCAGAACAGGGGAACAAAGGTGCTCCAATTGTCAAGGACAGACAGGAGGTTACAGAAGCCATCATAAGAAAGGGTGGTCTCTAAACTGAGCATGGAGACACCTGGAAAAATTGCTACCTAGCAGTCATCGGCCACCAGACTGGCACATTGGACATGCTCCTAAATTAGCCTTCTGCCATCAGTCTTTTTGTCTGCCTGGGCAAGCCACTTTCTCTCTTTTTGCTCGCTGGCTTTTTACCTATGAACTGAAAGGGGTTGAGCAATATTATCTCTGATGGGTCCCCCCTCCACCCACACTATCCAATTAAATCCCATTAAGGTAAAAAAAAAAAACCAATAAAGTTCCAGAGGCAGGAGGAGAGGTCAAACGCAAAATGAGCAAGTTTGCACAACAGGAGTTCTCCTGTGGGCAAAGAGATAAACAACTGTAACAGGAAACCAAACAAAACCAAACAAATAAAAAGGTAGTACGAGATGAGAAAGGAAGAGAGAAATTTTCAGTGTTGGCAGCGCCAGGACACTCTTGAAGGGAAAATGGAGATAAGGAAAGTACAAGGAAACTTCAGCTGTTAGGTCTTCTCTCTCCTTTTCTCTCTCAAGCTGACACAAGGAGCAAAGTCTGGGTCTCCATGGCTCGTTCGTGGCTCTCAAGTTCTTATTTTATTCATCCTGGTCATGCAAAATTTCGAAAGGTCCCTTAGGCTACAGAATCAGTTGCAGCGCTCTGCAGCAGGTCAGGGTCAAGCCGCAGCCCGGGAGGGGCGGCGCGAGCTCTCCCGCCCCCCAGGTGGAGGCGGGACCTTTCCCGGAGCCCGGCCCTGTCCCCACCCCCACCCCAGCGCCCCGCCTCGCCCCGGCCTCGGGTTTCCGGACCCCTGGCTATTTCTAGGCGCGCGTCGGCGGGTCTGCGCTTTCGGATCTCCGCGCGCTCCTGTCCCGGCTGGCTACCTAGCTCCTGCCTAGGCCCCCGCCAGCATGAGTCCGTGGTCCAGTTTGCCACTGGCCGCGCTGCTGCTGTTATTTTCCGGGGTATGCACCGTGATCGGCGACACACCTGCCAACTGCACTTATCCCGAGCTCTTGGGCACCTGGGTCTTCCAGGTGGGCCCCACTGGCTCTCAGCGCGACACCAACTGCTCGGTTATGGGTAAGCTGCTGGCGCCTCTAGACTCTCTTGCTTTTTTCCGCGTCGGCGAGGGATTCGTCCGTGACTTCCCTTTTCTGTCACTGAGCCCTCGCGGTTCTACCCACACACCAACATGCCACCCCCACCCTCGGGGCACCGCGTGTGCTGCGGTGGCAGGCGTTCGGGAGGGTCCCTGGCCCGCCAAGTTAAAGTTGACCCGCGAACTTCCGACTGCACACTTTGTTTACCTGGAACTTAAACGCCTTTTCGAAACCTTTTATTTCCCCTCTTCATTTTGTACTTTTCGGTCTGTTGTTGGGTTTGGTTGTTGGAGACCTGCGGTCTTATCAGTCTCTGGTAAATCTGGCAGTGGTGGGGGATCGGAGCGGTGAAGACAAAGGAACTCGGACTTTCGAGGATACAGCAACACTTTCTCCTTCAGCTCCTTTGTGGGAAAGCGTCCTGGAGCTCCACTGATTTATTTTTTATTTTTAGAAAAGGCTGTCATGTTTTGTATTAAATTCAGTTCTGTAAAAAAAAATTTTGAACACCTCCCTGCACTAGGCCGGTGCTGGTGTTGGGGAAAGGACAGAATAGACTCAAAGAGGGGTAACACATTTTATGGTTGATAGGGAAGATATGACACAAATAATTACATTTTTTTTAAAGTGCACAGAGCACAATAGCCATAGCAATCCTGTAGGGGGTCAGAAGGTAAAAACTCTCCGCCAGCATGCATGGGGCTGGTCCCCAGGGGACAAGTTGATGCTGCAAGTCCTTGGAAGGTTGAGGTAGGACTCTACACTGTTTCATGCATTGTAGGAATATGCAAAAAAAAAAAAAAATCTGTACAGAAAGAAACTTTTTACCCAGTAATTCTGTTTAGAAATACCTTGAGCCAAGTGGAAAACCTGACCTCAAGAAGGTTTAAAAACTATGTGCTCTTCAAAACACTTGGAGTTTTCCAGTGCTTTCAGGCAACATGTGTATCTCTTTAATAACAATAGCAACCTCAACACAGTGAAGAAGAGGAGACAAATAGAACAGTGTCAGAAAGATCACTCTTGCCCTGGGACTTTGACAGAGCGGGTGAAGGGCTCAGCTCTCATTTCCTTGTCAGCAGAACAAACTGTCAGAGGCATTGGTCACTGAGACAGATATAACCGTCTAACTACAGGTGACTGGTTGACGGTTTGCCATCCTGGACATTATAAACATTGATTGGTTTGAAAGTTGAGGTTGAAGGTCAGGACAGAAGGGACATCAGGATTTGCACGGTGTTCAGCTCATCCAGGTCAAACAGTCATCCGAGACCAGGAAGCACTCTCCCCAGAGTGGAGATGTGCAGATGAGGGCTGCTGAACCCTCTCGAAGAAGCCTCTCTGCCTGCACATTCACTTTTCACCTTAGTGGAGGTTTTAAAGATTTCCAGCCCTCCAAGCCGGTGTTCGTGTCGGTACAAATCAGTATGGTAGGATAAAAACTTGGGGAGTTAGATGGATAACCAGGGGGCAGGATTCAGAGTATGAAGTTCTAGAATCGGGGCTGTTGAGGACTGGACTTACTGCTCATCCTTATGACCGAACAGCCGCTCCTTTGATCTCGTGGTCATATTTGTGGTTTTTCACTTTTCAACTATAATTTTTGTCTTCTCATTTTTTGTCTTCAGTTTTTAGAACCTTCCTATTCCTCAGTTGAAAAGTTTTTCTGTTTGGATGTGATGCCAAAATAGAGGCTGCACTTTCGGGTGGGGCTCCCTGCCTTCTAGGAGACATGGTGCTTTGTTTAGGAACCTCGTCGTGCAGGCTTGTCAGATCCCTCTGGGCCTGTGTAGAGGTGACAAGTGAGAGAAATATTTCTTCACAACCGGATTAATACCAAATTCAGTAGCGCGAAAGGAAAATGGCCCAATCAAATAATGGAAATACTTGAGAACATTCTTAGGGTCATTGATACCCAAATAATTTCCCTTTTGTGGCACTTTTTTCTTTAGGACGACCAGAAAAAAAAGTAGTTGTGCACCTGAAGAAGTTGGATACAGCATATGATGACCTTGGCAATTCTGGCCATTTCACCATCATTTATAACCAAGGCTTTGAGATTGTGTTGAAAGACTACAAGTGGTTTGCCTTCTTCAAGGTTAGTTTTTATGTTTACATATGCATTTATGTTTACAGTAATTTGATATTTGAAGCCTCTTCTGATCCTAGGACTCTGAGAATTTTAGTTTTAAATTACAGGAGTAACCATGGTTGATTTCTCTTTAGAGAAATTAAATGCGTTACTTTTTGTCACTTTTCTTTAAGAAGTGATTTTTGCAATTAAAAAATATCTATCTATATCTGAATGTGTGTGATTTACTGTATTTAAGCTTGGGTTTCATAGGTATGACTGTGTTCTTAATTTGTTTCCTTGACCACTACATCTTCGTTTTTAAGTGTTGCCTTAGTCATTGAATACATATTTCATATTGAGTAGGAAGGGCTGATAGGAAGATTATATGTTTTTATGGGGTTTAAATCATCTTTATCAGTGGATCTGACTGATTGATCTGAGTGACTTGTTGTAGAAATGCAGTGTACTGAATATATTGGTATGAATAACTTGCTTGACTAAACTAACCAGCGGAAATGGAGAGCATAGAAATCACTTGAGGGGCTAATTATACTAAAAAGTAGGTAACCCAGCCTGCCAAGCGTGTTTTTCCCTCTAACTAGGAAAGAACGCATGTTCATTCTCATGTGTGTATATACTGTTTCCAATTGTATGATTCAAAACAGTTTAGCTGAGATTATGTTCCATTCTGCATGTTCTTCTGAAACAACTGGAACTTTGCCTGTAAACCTAGTGTTCAGTGGTTCAAGTGGACTGAATCTACAAGTCTGAAACTGTTTCTCACTGCATGTAAAATAGGGCCTAAATAAAAACAGGCTTTTAAGGGGGATATGACTTCCAGCTGTTGGAACATCTGGTAAGAGTTGATCATTTGGAGATACGTGTGGGAAAGTGCAGAATGAATCTCTTAAAAGACAGCAAAAGAGAAAGCAGCGGAAGAGGTGTAACATCTAAGTCTTGTAATTTCTCATGTGAGTTTTGAATTTTCACCATGATGTAAGTGCTCCATCTGCGGTGACTGTATTTATTAGAACAGTAACTTCTAGCGGTTTGTTTCATAAGTGGCATTTTTTTTTAACCCACGAAATCCAAAGTTTTCAATTCCCCGAAGACTTTTACTGTGACATTTCTTTCAAAGTATTGTAAATGGTATATCCGTTGTTAATTTTCACATTTTCTTGTGTGCTCTGGATGGGCTGATGCAGCATAATAGGCTAATGTGAAAGCAAAGCATGGGTGTTAGGAAAAGTTGTCCCTCCTCTAGTGGCTTGGCTGATCTGATATTCAGCTAGTAGAGCTACTCTGTGCACGCTGGCTGTTGGTGCTCAGCAAGCCATTTATTATGTACTGTTCTAAAATACCATAATGATATTTGTGTGAATCTCAAAAATTGTTAAGTGTAGATAGTAGATATGTTCAACTGGAGTAGAATTCATATTGATGAGTTTGGGACTTTGCTGACCTCTAACAGTTAGCTGGTCACAGTCCCTCAAATGTTCTTTGCCTCAGATCCAATCATTCATGGAATTGCTACACAAAGGGGCACTTAAGGCTCTTGTTACCAGGTGCATAATTTGCTGTCATCATCCTCTTCATCTCTTGTTTGGCTCCTAATAGACATTTATTTGTGGCTGACGGTAAAAGAAGTGTGTAGTGACTTTCAAACTACAAAGGAACCTTGAGACCAAAAAATAAAGAGAGAAGCCCCATAGAATCAGGAAGAATTTATGAGGACAAGTTGTATACAAGATTGCAGGTGGGGGGAGGCTGGTGTATTCCGTGCTGCAGCCAAGCCTTCTCAGCATCAAACAGTAGAAAAGGCCAGGTTTTACTTGTTCACAGATCATGAGAAGGCTGGGGCTGGACCCTAAGTTACACCGTTCTCTCACTATTCTCAGACATCTTCCTGGGTTATCTCACCTAATTAGAAAAGGCTGGGGTAGCATTGAAACTTTATGGCTGAAAGTTGGCGAGTGAGGCCAACAGATGGTCACCTTCCCTCAGAGTGAGCAGGGTTCAGTACGGCATTATGGTCCTTTGCTTCCACACAGGTTGATGCTTGCTTACAAATGCAAATGGATGAAGTAATATTCAGTTGGGAAATGTGTTGACTAAATAGACATATAAAAATCATTTACCAGTTTGACTTAGAAACATTTCATTCTTTAGTTCTGCTGACTTGCAGAAACTAGTGGGGAAACTTTTAAATCATAATTTAATTACCTGAGAAGAGACCAGGAAGAGTCTCTCTTAGTATCTTTTTCAGTATGTTGTCAGCTTTGAAGGGAGTGTCCAGAGCCAGCAGGGACAGAGGGGCTACCTGGTGGCTGCATGAGGAATCGAAACACTTTTTTGGAATCACAGTATAAACTGACTTGGCATTTTGCCATAGTCTTGGGATAGTGTCCACGTTAGACAAGAGTGAAGTGCTTTTTAATGCCAAACAATGTGAAAATATTCTGTGCAAGTGAGAATGATCAGCTGCTACAGGTGAAAAGTTAATGTTTGCACTAGGTCTGTGGAGCCCTGCCTGATCACGTGTCTGCAGAGCGCTGTCCGGGTGGGTGCTCGCTCAGCAGAGATGGTACCCTACTGATTTTATTTTTCTACTTGACAGAAACATTTTCAGAGCCATGTTTTATTTGTTTTATTTTTTGTTTTTGTAGAAAAATTTAAAAAACTATGGTGAGGAATTAGGCCTTATGACAGGGATCATAAGTTCAGGAAATAGAGTATATTATACATAGTCTTTGTTTTAAAAACTTAGATAGTTTAAGATAATATAATTTGTAGAATGATTAAAACCATCCTTATTTATTTTTTTTTAACCAGTATAACTGTAAGTGTAATGGGAATTGGTTTAAAAATTTAAGGAAATTTGCAGAGTGGAGCTGAATAGATAATAGGAGAATCAAACATTTTTACTGACATTTGCTAACACAAAATCCTACTGGATTTTACCACAAGCATCATGATATTTGTCTCCTACTGTGTGCTGGGAAACCCACTAGAAAGAGTTTATTACTCCAGAAAAATACAAGTTTGTTGAATGAGTAAAGCACAGGAGGATTTTGTCCATAGACTTAGAAAATATTTTTTAGGTTAAAACATAAGTAGTACTTGCTATTCAAATCTTTATTTTATTTATTTGAAACACAGAGTTACAGGAAGAGAGCCACAGAGAGAGAGTAAGTTTCCATTCACTGGCTCACTTTCTAAATGGCTGCAGAGCTGGAGCTGGGCTCAACAGAAGGCAGGAGCAGGGAACATCTTGGTCTCTCACGTGTGTGCAGGAGCCCAAGCACACAGACCATCCTTCACTGCTCTCCAGCAGCAATGCATGTACTTGAATATGACACGGAACAGCCAGGACACTGTAATGCACACCCTTGCTATTCAATTTTAAGTGTCTTGTGTAAATATACCATAATCCATTCAAACTATTGCCATTCCAAAAATATTACACTGCGACAAACGATTGCCCCATACACCTGCTGTCATTCCTCTGTATTGTTACTCATATATCATTAATCATTTATTTTGCACCTTCTAACTCACATGTATTTCCTTTTTCCCTGTTCAAATTCCTTCTATCAAATTACTTCTAATTGTTCTTACTCCCCATCTTGTTTGTTTAAGGTTTATTTTACTTATTTGAAAGGCAGAGTAACAGGAGGAGATAGGTCCTCTAGTTCATCTTCAGATGGTCACGATGGCTAGGGCTGGTAGGTCAAAGCCAGGAGACTGGAGCTTCTCTGTGTCTCCTGCATCGTGGCAGGACCTCAAAGCACTTGGATGGGATTTCCCTGCTTTATCCGGTGCATAAGCAGGGAGCTTGACCCCAAGTGGGATAGCAGAAATACAGAACCGTCCTCTGGTATGGTTTGCCAGCTAACCTGCTGCACTGCAGTACCAACCCACACGCATTTATTGAATAGATGATGCATACAGAGTGCTTTGTTAGGTTCTTGATCCATCTCCCGCTTCCTGTGAACAGCATCCTGCTATCCGAAAAGGAGGAAGACAGCTCTGACTTGGTATTGATGCCACTCCTTTTGCTTGGAACTTGTTTGGCTTAATTCTGCCTACTCAAGCCTCGTCTGCAAGATGAACATTTTTCCTAATTTGGGCTTCTTAAGTTCTTGTTTACTCTCCTTGAGAAAATCAGGCTGGAATAGAGCTAGACTGTATATTGTTTATATAACTCCAAGCTATAAAAGGCTTGGAGGATATACATCTTGACACTGATTATTGTTGAATAGTTTGACAGGAAAAATGAGGTGTATTTTCAAAGCACTTATCCTGCTCAGTTCCCTCCAGGCATTAGGTCACTTTGAGTTACAAACTCAGACACACATAATATCCTGGGCACCTAAGCATTTTTAAAACCTCTTGGAAAACAATAAAGACTAATAAGGGCTGTGGCAAAATGAGTACTTATCTAGAGGCAATCAAATTCAAATTGGATTTTCTCTTACAAATCTGGCCAGCAGATAGCATTGGCAGTTGTTTGGGCCAGCTTTTTAGGCCACCATTTTTTGGGCCACCATTTACCATTTGGTGATAGTTGGCAAACTGGCAAATTTGTAGGTTTTAGAAATATTGGAGTATGAAAGGTAGCCAGCCTTTTCGGTGAAAACGCAGAGTAGCAAAACCAAAGGGAACATGTCTCAGAATGCTTAATTGTATCCCACTGGATGTGGTGGGAGGATAAGTGATTTTTTTTTCTTCTTTATGTTTCTATGTACTGTGCTTATTTTTTGTTACAAGCAGGGGCAATACCCTGCCAGACAGCAGCCCATCCTCCTGACCACGTTGCCCAGAGGAAGGATGTTCCATGAAACAAACAAAACTCTGAAAGTGTCCTCAAGTTAAATCAACTTTCTAACCTTATGTGTTTTCTCATTTCACTTTCTCTGGAGCAATACAAGAAACTGATTGGGCTAGTTGGGAAGATGTAGGGAAGGAAATCCGATTTCATTTTGAAGATACGCCAGAGCTAAAGATACATGTGGAAGGGAAGTCTTACTATGACTGAAAATTTATTTAGTGATATTAAAGTGACTGTTGTTGATTTATAATTAAGTTCTTGTTTGCATTTCTTTAGTACAATATTTTTTGCTTTAATTTTTTAAAATTTATTTGAAAGACTCTGAGACATCTTGTATCCACTGGTTCACTCCCCAAATGCCTGCATCACTAGGGGTGGAACAGACAGAAAGACGCAAGGTTTCCACGTGGAAGGTTATGACCCAAGTCCTTGAGCCATCACCCGCTACCCATTAGGACACACGCTAACAGAAGCTGCAGGAGCCAGGACTTGAACCAGGCACTCTTACGTGGGATGCAGGCATTCCAAGCTACAACTTAACTAACATACCACAACAATAGCTACCCTGATTTTGAATATTTACAGAGATAACTGCTGAAAATACAGTGTAGGTGTTTATAAACAAGTTGCTACTAGCACACGGTAATAGTGGAAAGAATTCTTATCAGAGAATTTGCCCACTTGTGTGCCTGTGATGTGTAAATTTCAAATTTGTATCAATGATGAGAAATATGGACTGTGTATTATTCAGTAAAGGTTTCAGGAATCTGCTATTTTCCTACCATCCCTTCTGGGTTCATTTGTAGAATGTAGTAATTTTCGGAGACCTGTTATTGAGACAGTGCAATTTTTAAAATGCAGTTTTACTACATTGGATTCCAAATTTTTTTTTAAACATCCTGAGGTTTGCTTTTAAGATGGTTTGAATTGAGGCAAAGAAGCAGGAGTTTAGTGCTTAATGCGTACATGACAATTTGATATGCTTTTTCGTGATGGTGCTTTGTTTCATCCTAATGACTCCGTTTGCCGTTATAAACTCTTTGTAGGATGTCACAGATTTTATCAGTCAGTTGTTCATGCAGCTGGGAACTGTGGGAATGTATGATTTGCCACATCTGAGGAACAAACTGGGTGAGCTACATTGAAATATTTTTAACTTTCTTTTTAGAAGCAAGCTTTCCTCCTCCATAGTGGCTGACTCAAATCAATACCTGTTTTTATCAGAGAAAGGGCAACTGAAGACTCTGGTCTTTGTCTTGACTTCTTCCCTCCTTGCGCTTGTCTCCTGCTTCTAACTTGGCTGCATTGTTTATGTGAGCGATTTTCTCCTTTCGTAGACTCCCTTTGCACACAGGAGATTTGCCCTCCCAAGAAAGATACTTGGGTCCTGAGTCAACATGACCCCTGAAAAGTCAAGACCCAGTTGAGACTTCAGCTCTCGTTCTTGAAGTAGCCTTGCTGCCTGCAACTGCTTATCCTTCTGGAAAGACTTCTTCCAGGGAGACCATCTGAGGCTACAGTAGATTAGGTCTTGGCTGCAATAGACCAGGTAGCTCTTTCTCACAAATTGACAGACCTGCCAACTCATCCTTGTAGAAGTCACCAACTATTTTATTTTTTAAAGATTTATTTATTGTTATTGGAAAGGCAAATTTACAGAGAAAAGGAGATACAGAGAGAAAGAACTTCAATGGCTGAAGCTGAGCTATCTGAAGCCAGGAGCCAGCAATGTCTTCTAGGTCTCCCATAAGAGTGCAGAGGCCTAAGGCTTTGGGCCATCCTCTTTTCCTGGATGGGAAGTGGAACAGGCAGGACATGAGCTGGCACCTGTATTGGATCCTGGCACTTGCAAAGCAAGGATTTAACCACTGAGTCATTATACCTCATTATACCTCATTCCACCCAGCTTTGTAAAACTGGCTTCTGCCAAGAACATAGAATATTGTGTGGGAAGAGGAGGATCTTGTTTGTTTTTTGTTTTTCATTTTTTACATTCTGTTCAAAGCTTAGGGAGACATTTAAATCATTACTTACATTTGGTCAAAATTTAGATGTCTAATACTTCAATAGAAAAAAAATGCATGTTTCAGGAATAAAGTTGAGAGGGACTTACCCTTCCTTCTATTTTATCATAACATCGTTTCCCTTCCTCTTTTATTTGGCTCTTAGTAGAAGTGAAATATGAAAAAGGGAACTGGGCAAGTGTTGGTCTTCTTTGTCCTAAATCAGCATTTTCCATACTTTACAATGGACTGGCAGTGGCCACACAGCTGGGTAGGAATTTCTTCTTGCTGTGTTACCGTTTCATCTGATTATTCTGAACAGATTGCTCAGCAGCTGGTAATAACTGATGGAAGTTAGTGGTAAAGCTGACACTAAAAACGTCTTCCTTTCAGCTCTGTATAGTGGTAGATTAGAGATTTTTCCTCATTTTAGAACTTCTCATGATTTTTGACATATAAGGGAGAAGTAACAGAAAACCATCCCAAGATAGGTTCACCATTGTGTTTTCCCATGAGAATAAAAGGTACTCTCAGAATGTGGGTTATAAAATTCTGTCCCAAACCTCCTCACATTTCCTCTTAGTAAGGGAGACATCCCCAGTGTAGAAAAGATAAGCCATTGTATTTGTTCTGTGAATGACATAAGTAGCCTTGCATCTCAGCATAGATTCAAGTAGCATCAAGGTTACATTTAGAATCTGTAGAGTGTACATGTTAACACAGCTAAGTGAGTGGAAGGTAGCCTGTTTCTTAAGTTCATTGCTAAGTTATGTTTATACTGGGGTAGTTACTTTCACATACACGTGCTTCGTGAGTGTATTGGCTGCATGCACACTACATGTTGCTTAAGCATCCTGCTTGAGAATGGCTTTTTGTGAATGTCTTCCATAGCATTAAAATATGCCATGCTCTCAAAAATAATAATGCTGATGTATATATATATATATTTTTTTTTTGCTTAACTGGAATAAATGTGATTACATAGTAAGAGACAAATATGATCCTTGTTGGCTTATAACCTTAGTTTTTATTGTCTTGTAGTTATTAAATAGAACACTCGTTGAGGAGCTCTTTTAAACCCACAGCCAAGAACAAAGTTTGGTGCTAAAAGACAGAACAGCCTGCTGCAGTGGACTCTAGCAGCTACAGTCCTTTCTGGAATCTGTTGGCATGTAAAATGCAGAGGAGTCCTGCTGACCTACCTCCAAGTCCCCTGCCCTCCTGAACATTTCCTTGGAGAGTGGTGACCGCCGTTTTGGAATGTGAACAGCCAGCGACTGTGCAGGAGCAGGACAGAAAGGCTGGAAGAGATGAAGTCTGGTGCCTTCGGCCCATGCGCAGCGTTTTTATGAATGATGTGAAACTTTTTTTTTTTTATCTCCCTTGGATATCCTTCTTTTGAAATGAGTTTTTCAGACTGGATAGGAGTTGAACTTTGTGTTTTGTTTTATTCACATTTGAGTTATCTTCTGAGCGCTCTCCTTGCCTGTAATTACCTTGAGAAATTCCAGAAACTATTGGAAGGAGAACATATTGCTTTGGGCTTTTTAGATAAAAGTTATGCATTGGAAGATGGTCCTGTGGAGGGCATCTTTAAATGAAGGGGGGAGGGGACAGGCCGGGAAAGCAGCTTGCTTGGATAAACCAGGTTGTTGAGGGTAGCCTTTGCATGACCTGGCATATTTCTGGCCTGAGATTTCGATGGTGTCATTAATACTTAAAAGAAAAAAAAACAATCTTAGATGTCACCCTCAAGCCAAGAACTTGCCATTGTATTGGTTTTTTAAAACCCTAGAAAGTAGGTATGATTAGCTTATGGCTATGGAAAAATGAAACATTAGTCTCTTAGAGTACTTAAGTTCACACAGCCTCTGACTGAAATGCTAGAGAGCTTGTCTTACCAGCATGAAGACTTCGCTGCAGTTAAAGAGGGAAAGGAAGGCCACTTCACAGACTAGTCGAAGGAATGTGGTGTCACACGGGGTAGAGTTTTCTGGCAAAGTCCGATCCATCTCTAGTGTGAGTATTGGCTCGATAGGCTGGGATATCTGTTTCCCTGGCTCTTGTTGACACTAGAAAGAAGGACTGGCTTGAAGCTAGAGCTTCATTATCTGAAACTAATGAAGAAATACTGACTTTCTTGCTTAAACCAGGGTTCTTTTATTCAAAACAGATGCTTTCTCATTCCCTTTGTAATCTCAAAAAATGGGAGGGGGTGGGGTTTAAAACTTCAAGATTAATGCCCTTGCCAAAATGAGTGACTCTTAATTAAGTGACTGCTCACACTGGTTACTAACATCTGGCTCTTTCTTGCTAAACGGTAGATTCTTTGTCTTCCTAACTTGGTTTAAAGATGGTTTACATCATTCCCAATGAAACCTAATCTGTGGGGCAACACCTAACACATCCTGTCCAAAAGGACTCATTCCTGCATCTGTGCTGGAGTAAAACAGTCTTTCTTTAGCCAGTTGCTGGCCACTGTTATTTCAGGTGGCATTTTAATGTTATCAAGAGAGTATTAGTCTGCTTCTAGGAAGAGAAAATTTCCAAAAAAAAAAAAAAGATAAATTAACAGTATAGCACTTGACTCTTACTTGAATACTTTCTTTTCTTTCTCTCTCTCTTTTTTTTTTTCATCCCACTTCTGGACCTTGATGCCATACCCTGTGAATTTCCCTGGCTGTCTCCATCAGGGGCAGACATGCCAGCACCTGGTTCCCACTGTACTGTTTTCTCCCAGACTGAAGAGGTGTACTTCTCATTGCACAGCTTCAGCACTCAGTGTTATAGGTGTTTGGAGAATAAACCACACATCTCCTTGCTTTTCACAAATAGTGCAGGTTTGCAAGTAATTCGTTTTGTGCAGTTCTAGAAACACAAATCAGGAATGTTGCTGTTTTACATGTTTGACTCTTTGTTCTAAAAAAAAAAAATACTACCTGGTTACTTGTTGCCAGAGCTCAGAAAGAATTGTATATTTTCAAAATGTAAATACTGCTGTCATATCACCCAGTATTTTTAAGGATGTATTGTATATGTAATTTGGAAGGGTACTGAATATCTTTTGTTTGTTTGTCTGAGTAATTTTGCAACAAAATGTTTTTATTATACAAGACAAAAATTTTGTGGGTAGAGCCCCACAATAAAATAGTGCACAACATCCCAATATTTCCAGTTTCCTGATTGTCTTCTGCTCTGATCTCTAACTCCCAAAGGACAGGGCTCAACCCATGTTCCAGGGTTCTGCCTGGGCAGCACAATGCATGACATAAAAACCTTCAATAAATATTTGTATAAGAAAGGAAATTGACTAATATATCATTGTGTTATTTTATTGCTTTTTTAGGAGGATGTTGTTAACTTTGTGGTCTTAGATGATATGGTGAACCTACGGGTCATATTTGTGAATTAATTTAATGGGAAAGAGGTCAGGCTTTTAAATTTTGTTCAATTTATTTATTTATATGTGTTCTATTATTTGATTGAGCCCATAGAGGCCCAGATGGCGCTCAAAATTTAGAAAGTTGTAATTTTCAGGACTACTGGGTGCTAATTGGCTGTCAGAAGGATCGGAAAGCTCTGGGACTGCAGAGTTTCCCAAAGCCTGGAGAACAGCTGGGAAGTGTGGCTTGCTGTAGGCTGTAGTATACATAGTAAGCTAGTTAGAATCGTGGGTTAAGGAGATGGTCAGATGAACTCTCACAATTTCTTGTCATTTCACAATTGAAGAGTTTGTGAGTGAGTGGGGAATCAGGCCAAAGCCTGGCTATTTTACTGAGTAGTAAACTGTTGCTCAATGGATTTTTGAATGTATAGGAGTATTTTGTTACAAACTGAATTTGTTTTCAGCACTAGTAATATACAAATCTATATTCTCTCATTTTTACATGAACTCTAATAGCCAATTGTTTACTCAGTAAAGACCTGAAAGTTATTGGTGAAATCACTGGAACAATTTCCTGGCTGTTTTATAGTTCTTTGAAATTTCACTTTTAAAATAAATGTTTCAGCCTAGATATTAAGCAGAAAAGTAGAACTAATTCTTGAAATTGACATAGAAAGTTGGTTTCTTTTGAAGGAAAGATACAATGCCCTTGGATGGATTTTATGCAAAAGCAGTTTAGTGAAATGTGCCTGTTCTCTTGTTGCCATTTAAATGACTTTTGCTCTCACTGTAAACTTTACAGCAAATGAAAACAGTTAATTTGCATTTATATAAACAAATGCATAAATGGAATGATGTTCTTTTTCAGTTTAGTTGGAATGTAATATCTCCATGCATAAACTAATAATTGAATCATCTCGCATCATGCTAGGGACTCTTCTAAAATGGTAAATTATTACAATGGATTAGATTAAGATGACCGAAATTTTCATCAAATATTCTGTAGTATTTTTGTATACCTATATCAAATTATATACAAGTATTGCTGCTTGTTTTGAAACATTAAATGCATTACATATTTGAGTTTGATTCACAAAATTGTACCCTATCAAAATATATTTCATGTTAATATTCTGTGTGAAATATGCTTTCTTATTATGTGGCTGTAACAGTCTTCGACTCTCTTTTTTAGCATTAAGTAGTCTTCAAGGGTGGATACTTAACCCAATAATTACAGTACTCATATTTTCTTAATTAAAAAAAAAATTTAAATAGTGATATTCATGACTAAAAGGTTTTAATATTTGGAAATAGAATTTCTCAGTGTGTTTAAAATGCTTTCAAATAAGCATTCCAGTAGATTCTGACATGTTTTTATTAAAAGCATGCAAGTGCCACTGCTTTAGAGGAATTTAGAGAGCAAGAGATTGGTGTTAGAGACAATTACCGTTTACTAGATTTTAACTGAAGCATTTGCTTTATAGATGAGTAAGATGGAAAAGTGACCATCACTTTGATGGATCCCATTTGAAGCTGTGAAAAAGCTTTCCTTTTAATGTGGCTGACGGCACTTAGAAGAGAGCAAAACAAACTTTGACATTTTTCTGTGTTTGCATCATTACTATTTGCTGATTCTGGTTTCTTTGCAGGTATGCTTAAGCCTAGTTAGTTTCTGAGGCTTAGCTGGGTTCAATCAGAAAATATGCTCACATCCATTTCAGCACATGTGTTAGAGAATTAATTTACCATGTCCTAACCATCTTGGAGGTCCTTATTAGCACATTTGCAAAACACATGATTGTCTTGATATGGGGACTGAGGGGAGTGCCTCAGTGTTGCTTCAATATTAAACAAGAATAGCAGTTGTTTTCAATTTTATATTTTAGATATTAATATTCCATTATTCCAGTGACCAGGGCTTCTTCATATTTGTTTTGTATCCAATCAGGTTATAATATACTGTTGATACAGGATCGTATCAATAGTCTTGTAATAATATTGTACAATATTGTTTTTCTTTGAATATTTATTTGAAAGGCAGAATTACAGAAAAGAGAGCCAGACAGATCTTCCATCCACTGGTTCACTCCCCAAAGGACTGCAGTGGCCAAAGCAGTTAGTCTGAAGCCAGGAGACAAGAGCTCCTTCAGTTCTGCCACATGGATGCAGGAATTCTGAGACTTGAACCATACTCAAAGGCCAGGAGCATGGAGCTGGGTCAGAAGTGGAGCAGCTGAGATACTAACTAATGCTTGTAATGGATGCCAGTGCTTTAGGTGAAAGTGGTGTTGGCTACTGATGGGCATGAATGAAGTCTTAAATAACTGCATCCTTCACAACAACAGATGAGCCTATCTATATTGCTCCCTTTTTGATGTCCTATAACTTTTTATATCCCTCCAACTTCAGCATCACCTTTATCCTTCATAGCCATCCAGTGAACTTCGCTATCAGTCATCACATAATCATCTTTCTCATAGGAAGAAATGAAGGCTCACAAGATGTGACTTGCTCAGGGTTACATAAATGATAGGTGGCAGAACTGAGAATTAAAGGGCAGTGGCCTCTTGACTAGACTGCCCTGTCTCCTAGACGTGGTTTATATGAAGTAAGGTATTTGCTAAGGATATTATAAATCAAGAAACCAATAGAAAAAGGTTTAAGTGATTTTTTTCCCTCAGGGTTAAAGAGGTAAGTAATAAATTTAGGACAAATAACTTAAGTTCCAAAATATCCTATGGCCTTTTTTCCAGGTGGTTTAGTATTGCTAGATAGGTCTGATTGGATAGTTGATAAAAATGAGTGGGGAATTGAATAAGGGGTATTTTGAGAATGTTTGGCGACTTGTTGGTATTTTTAAAGAAGCAAATAGATATTGAATGATAGTATTTTTCTAAACCTGAGTGCTAGTGTTTGAAATTTCTTTAGATTTTAGGAAATCATCCATTTATTGCTATAGAAATGAATGAATGCATAAATGAATGAAAGTTTAAATTATACCATGTATGAACGGCAATTTTCAGGGGCTGAGATTTATGTAAATGAACTTGCTGAAGAGATATTCAACTGTGTTTCACTTGGATAGCATGGCCAGAATGGCAACTTCTCGTCATTGATGATGTCAGAAATTATGGAAGAAACATTCTGCAGTGACAGGAGAATTGAGACATCCTGAGAACATTCAGATCGAGGCAGGAACAGGGGTGGTGTGGGTGGTTCCACAGGGAATCTCTGTGTCCCACAGGCTGCAGTCGGGCACACTGGGAGGAGCCCCGTGCTGTAGCTCCTCCCTTTGAGAGGACAATTTCAGCTTCTAAAAGAAACCACGTCATTTCAGGTTGTGAATATTACAGAAGGAAATCAGTGTTAAAAGGGAACATAATTATCAATTTAATGTATCAGAAAAAACACACAAATGGATAGTGTTGTTATAGGGTCTAAGAAACAAAATACAAAGTTGAAGTTTTTAGGATTACTTTCAATATATGAATAATTCATATGTACACATTAAGGATTATGTACTTGGCTATCTTGCTAGTAAAGCAGAAGGCCATGTAAGCACGGAACACAAAAGTTTTGAAGGGGACTTTTAGAACTTTCTGGGTAGACTTGAATTTGTTCATTAGGCTACAAGATAGGGGAAAGAAAATTTGCATTTCTGAAGTAATACCAGAGTTAGAACTTGGGTCTCTGATAGCTTGATATTTACATAATCCTATTGATTATAAACTCCTAAGCTTTTCTCAGTTTCTCAATTTACTGTTGAAATGGAGCATGATGTTTGTTTATCTTCTATTATGCATCTTTTAAAAGATTGTTTCTTTCTTTGAAAGGCGAGGAGACACAGAGGACACAGAGGTTATCCATAGGCAGATTCATTCCCCAAATAATCAGAAGAGCCAAATCTGGGCGAAACCAAAGCCAGGAGGGCGGCAGGGGGCAGACACAGGGGCCACCTCCCGATGCCATCCCAAGCACCACTGTGAAGCTGAATAGCGAGTAGAACACCTGGGACTTGAGCTTCACCCTCTGACATGGAATATCAACATCACAAGCGGCAGCTTAATCTACTGTGTGACAGTCCCAGCCTCCTAGTATATGCTTTTTAAAATTTGCATATATACTAATCAATTGCTTTTAGTGTCAGACTGTTTCTTAGGCACTGAGTAAATGAGAAGTCCTGTCCTCGTAGCGTGTATGGCTTTGTGGCAAGAGCCTCATAGGCTGTCATGAAAATCATGTAGGCTTAGTGAGTTTGTCCAACATGAAGCACACAACTAGGGAGATGAGGTCTATTATTATCCATGTTTTGTACATGAGGAGTCTGAAAGCGCAGAGAGCACAAGTAGCTCGCTCAGGATTTCACGCCAACGCACGGCAGTTGCATTCCGTGCCGCAACCCAAGCCAGAGGGTGATAGCTCATATCTCTGCCCTGAGTTAAAAACTTGACAGAATTACTAAAAAGACTGACATGGCCAAGGCAATAGAGGTTCCTGTGTAATGGGAAAACAGCCATCGAAATTGCTGGAAAGATTTGTTGTTGGGTAGCAACACAGACCTGACTCATAAGTGAGTTACTCTTCCAAAATTAAGGGGTTTAAGTTGTTTTTTTTATGAAGTTACTAATATTAGATTTCTTTGTTCTACAAAAATAGAGAAGTTTAATAATTTAGTACACAGGCTAAAGCTCCACTTTGTTTTTAAAAATAGATGTATTTATTTGAAAGAGAAAGGGGGACTCTCTCTCTCTCTCTCTCTCTCACCCTCCCTTTCCCCCACACATCTTCCAATCCCCAAATGGACACAATGGACATGTTTGGGCCGGGACAAAGCTATAAGCTAGGAGCTTCATCAGGAGCTTTTTATGTGGGTGACCCAGAACCAAGCACTTGGGCTGTCCTCCACTGCCCCTTTTAGGCCATCAGTGGGAACCAGGATCAGAAACAAAGAACAGGAACAATGTTTGTATGGCCATGATGCCAGCCTCACAGGTGCAGCTTTACTGACCATGCCAAAGCACTAGCGCCATTCCACTTAATTTATGTTCTGAGAAACACATTGTAAGTTAGAGATGTGTTAATTCAAAAATGCATGCAATGTCCCTCATATAACATTGCAACTAAGCAGCAGCACACTGCACAATATTGGGTACTTATGCTTATGAACATGTGGCTGGCATAGGGTAGGGCTGAAAAAGAGAGCTTTGACTCCTTTTGCTCAGCATCATGACAGAGCATCCCACCGTAGATTTCTATCTCCCAAAGATCCATATTTGAAATATACTTTCCATTGAATATGTATTGCTGATTCAGAGTCATAAAGTTAAGAAAAAAAGAAATGTAAGTCAAACCCCATTGTAAGTCATGGACTGAATAATAAAAATGAATCTGAGTAGCCTTTCCACACAATTCTCTCGCTGCCATTCAGTGTTCACCATCCTGTGTGTGGTTTTTTTAGCAGAAATAGGAGCAATTAGCTGAGTACTTGATGGTGAAAGCATTCTTAGCTGACACAGATGAGTTCTGGGCTATCCTGACCTGCTAATACTGGGGCAAGGTGTGTGTATCGGCAGCCAGGCGTGACTCCCCTCTGCTCTACTGTTGAGTGAGTAATGAATCCTAGGATTTAGACCCTGCCTTTTTGGATTCTACAACCACACATCCTTAACTCTACCCCCATATAGGTTTTGAATGTAGTTTTACCTAAAATGTAGTTTAGCACAATCACTCTTGTAAAGTGGATGTAGACAAGCTATAGGCCTATTTTGCAAATAAAATTTTATTGGGATATGACCAGGTTCATATACTTATGCATTCATGCACTTTTTATGTTACTGAAACAGGTAGAGTAGTTGTGACTGAGACTTTCCATTCTGAAATCCTAAAGTGTTCGCTAATTTGTCCCTTAAGAAAGAAATTTACTAGCCTCTGTTGACAAGGAAAACTAACATCCGTTAGATTAGATTAGGAGTTGCAAAATATAGACCATGGGACTAAACCAGCCTACTGCCTACTTTTGTGTAAATTAAAGTTTTATTGAAACAGAGCTGGCCCCTCTGTTAATATGTTTGTGCTGTATTTGACTTGTTTTCCTCTGCACTCATAGTTGAGTAGTAGCCACAGATTTTAAT